GTGCGAATAAAAAAAAGTTTTGCAAAAAAAAAAGTTGTTTTCATTATGAAATCTACGTGGTCATGAGGGTTGAACAAATGGGACAGAATATCTAGTCTTCAAGTTCATTTCTTTACAATTTCGTCTTTTTTCGTTTGATTTTGGCATTCTACGACATTGGTATGGTTTTTTGTAACTTACGGTATATTTTTGCTCATTTTGCAACTGTTTTGTACGATTTACAGTATGGTTGAAAACTTTTTCTTTTTTGAAACGGCCGAAAACTCATGCGCGCGCGGATGTTATCCATATAATCAAATCAACATGGACTAATGTACACGGGTATAAATCCAGAAATGTCAATGCTAAAGGTGTTAGTTAATACATGCAGTTGTGGAAAAATGCTAGATTCAGAGGTATTGTGTTCTAGTCGGTACAAATTTTAGACAGCAAGTAACATAACCAGAATAAGTACTCTCATCTAATCAGTTTGAATCTGCCGTCACCCAGTCTTAGAACTCTTAAATTGGAATGTGATCCAAGATACATGTCATAATCTATGTCATACTTTGGACGCGATTACGTTCGATACGGGTGTTCCGGCCCGTATAATAGCTTTTGGTACGGCCTGGGATTCTTTACGGATACTCAAATGATAGAATAATTCAAACTCGTTTTGCGCGCACAAAGTGCGCCGCTTTTGGAACTTCGAACGCTGAATTCGGATTTTAGAATTGACACCGTTACACTAGTTGTTTAGATACACCAAATTTTTGCAAATTTTGCATTGAATTGTCTGTTTTCTCGGGTGGATATGTCTTATATAAAATACATATAGAATACAACACGGAGTATTCCGTATCGCCCGAGGTATCGGCCCGACCGCGGGTCGGATCGCCCGACGGCCGCAGGCATTCGCGTTCGAATCTTTCTATGGAACATTTGGAAGGCCCGGGCCGTACGCGTTTAGAACCCCCGGGCCGTACCGCTAGTTATCACACGGGCCGGAACACCTGTATCGAACGTAATCGCGGCTCAGGTAGGACGTAAAACACGGTATATTCCGCACTACCCTCGGTCCCAGCCCTCCCGCGGATCAGGTCGCCCTCTGGCCGTCAGAAGATCCGACCCGCGGTCGGGATGCTACCTCGGGTGATACGGAATACACCATGTAGTATTCTATATTACCGTTACAGCTGATAGTATCATTTAGTCTCCATGTAAATGAAAAGATACCACCTATGTCTGTTTCTAGTGATTTAGCCGGTCTTTGGGCAAGGAGCTGGCAAAGCTTAATGTACCAACGTTTGCAAAAACGCGCGAAAGCCAACAAGTCTACACCCCGTAATGTCGTACCACTCGCTACAGAAACTCGCCAGTCCCCTTCATGTGTCATCTGTTGAACAATATTTAACGGACAATATTTCTCCCCTGCTTTACCGTCTTTACATACTACCATGAACGTATATAAGAAATATTTGTAACAGTTGAAGTTTAGGCATGTACCTAAAAAGCTATTTGACATATTTGTATCACATGAGCTTACTCATACTTTTTAACCGTTCTTCCAGTCGTGATTTGTAGGTAATAATAGTATGTGCAACAATTGGGTATTCTTTCTAATGTACTTGTATTTTAAGTTTATTTTATGCAATAGTATGAATAGTATAAACTTTTATATTTTTAAAATAAAAGGCACATTGATTCTCAATTCAGTGACTTGTACTAAAAGTTTACTCCGAAAGATCAATAAATAATTTTTGAGTCATATCTGATTAGTCACTCACACACCCAATCAATCCGCTTATACGGGGTACATTGGCATAAGGTCAATCTGTTCTCTCTATCTCCTTCTGTTATTGGTGAGTCTCTGTGTTTGGTTTAGGGTGGTGCTACCCAATTCAAGGTCTCTGGAAAGAATTGCTCAACATTGTGCTTTTCGAGTAATGACGCATGTGCAAGCATTGATGTTTCCCTTTACAATTTTATTATTTTCTGTGAACATGCCATGGTATACGTCGATGAAGGTTAGACATCCAGGTAATACGATATGCGAAAAAACAGTTACTCAAGCAACTGGATATGATTTTGAAAACGTCAGACGTTTCAGCTAGTATCCACTAGCTTTCGTCAGTGACTGAGAGACCAGAGGGGAACATTGCCGACCTAGTGCCAACGGCTACTCCTCAGCTATTTTCCACCACCTTCAACACAACCAGGGTCACTCTTTCAAACTCGAGTCCACGGATGTCTTAGACCGCGAAACACGCTGGTGGGAACGGGGTGTTAAAGAGGCAATATATGAAAGAATGTACAACCCCACCCTCAACAGGGAAGGGGGGCTACGGGTCGATCTTTCCGGCACTTGGGATTTGGCACTCCCAGCCCCGAGGACAGATAACACTTAAGCTCCTGTCCTGTATAACAGGAGCTTTCAGACTAATTTGCATCATCTTGTCTTGACTTGTCTGACTTTTGTTCCTTTTTCGACTTCCAAAAATTTGTCTTCACTTTATTTGCATATCAATCAACAGGTTGTGTATATAAACCTGCTTTCCCCTCTGGTCTCTCAGTCACTGACGAAAGCTAGTGGATACTAGCTGAAACATCTGACGTTTTAAAAATCATATCCAGTTGCTTGAGTAACTGTTTTTTCGCATAATGCCATGGTATAGATCAGTGGGGATATATAAAGTACTCAGCTGTGTGACTTGCTTCTTTACTAGCTGTGCAGGTGAAACCCTTTGCCGCAGACGGTACTCTTGTATGTATGTATGTATGTATGTCTGTCTGCATGGCTCCTTTGCCTCGGGCGTTGTGACTTATTGTCATTAATCGTAAAACGTACCTGGTCTGCTCTAATTGAACGTTAAGCATTATCATGAAATCGATCGTGACGGTAGCTTTAATTCTCGGTGTAGCGCATTATTTGCTTGTCAGAATCGTTCACTAAGTAACATGCTTCATTTTTCTCTTGTTTTGAGCCGAAAATGACCTAATTTTCTAATTTAGTTTAAAGCCATATTTAATTTTTCTTTTCAACATAATGGTCTGCTATAGGGACAGTTACTAGTTACTCGAATAGAAATTGTTCATTTCAGTGTTAACATGTTGTGAATTTTAGAAATGATGTGATTTGGTATTAATACAACCAAAGTCTTGAGAAAAGGTTTTAACCACTCCTTTAACTTTGGCTCCTAGGTTTACTGTTCAGCCTTTTCATGACCCCTTCAGACTCTCTTGTAAATTTATCAACCCCTTCCGCTTATGCACTTGACATTTATCGTCATCCATTCCTGTTAAAAATATCTTCCGTAAATAATTTTATTGTTATATTTTACCTGATACTGTTCTTTTTATCATAAATATATAACTTTATATGTCTATGCCAGAGATTATTATGCACACGCGGAATGACTTTTTGTAGTTCGGTGCTTCTGGGGACGACACCCAGTAATGTTCCCCATATACTACTAGATATTGCTTTTATCTGGTTTGTCATTTTAACGATTTTAGATTTTTCAAGCGAATTAATATTGATCTGCCAATTTGTACACGAGTCTGTCAATTCAGCCTGCTGACAATTCAGCCTGACTTGTCTTTGATTTTAATAATAAACCAGTCTACTACTAATTTCATTAGGTTGGAAGATACTTAGGGTATAGCATTTTCTTCTTACACAACCAGTAAGGTTCTCACCTGCTTACGTTTCGATGTCTATCAGACACCTTCCTCAGAGCGTATGGAGATGAGAACCTTACTGGTTGTGTAAGAAAAAATTCTATACCCTAAAAATATCTTGCTGTTTTTGGTAGTTTAGTGTTCTTACATGATTTGATATTTCTAGTATTCACTTTAATATGCTAACAAACTAAAGCTACTAAATTGGTGTCTACGTTATGCACTGTAAGCCGTTCATTAAGAGTTTTCCTTAGGTTTCTAATTTTCACAAAGCTGTGGTGATAGACCATAATGTAGAATTTTACTTTAAATTATCGGTATACCATGCAGGCTTGTTCAAAACGGCCGATCTTTAAAAACCCAAGGAAGCAATGTAGTATGGTAAGAAAAGAATTCGCTGTTAACAAAATGATAATACAAACGTTCTCATCCCGTGCACTTTTTAGGGGATAACATTATTTTGAGTTTTTTTCAACTCCAACGAAGCCTTCGTCAGTATAAAGTACATCTAATTGACTTCAGTCCCCCATGCGTTTTAATGAAATCCACGCAATCCTCTTTTAAAATGCTCTGCGAATATAACAAAAAGTCATTGTTAACGACGTTAACAATGCCAACGTTCCAATTCTGTATGTTCTTCTTACCCAATGACCATTTTACTATTCATCCCAAAACAGTACTGACACAAAGGCGTGTGTTGTACACACAAGCAGTTACCGTAAAGGGGTTGACTTGGCGCTGTTTGGATCTTCTCATGGCTACAACCAGTTATTATTAGGGACTGTATCTTTTTGTTTAGTAGAAATACATGATTTTTGAGAGATCTAGATGTAACGTCTTTTCCAGATCTCGTATTTAATGTTTAATTTGTTGTGTCGTGAACCAGTCAGAACAATGTTATTAAGCAATTTGATTCTATTAATATAATCATAATGATTGTACTTGATGACGGTCCACCGATACTAAAACAGGTTTTCGGAAAGTTTCAAAATGCGGAAAAGACACTAAAACTGAGCCAGATCCATATATCTGTTTCTAGATTAGCCAACACCTTGCTTTACGTGAAATACGTGACTTACACGACAAGTTTTTGGAAATGGCACCTGTGTAAATTCTATTTCCTTTCACAACATTCTTCACCATGTATCATGTCATAAAACAGTTAAGTCGGCTATTGGAATGTCTCTGTGATTTCATTCCAAAACTCTACGTGTAACACCCGTTGGAGAGTAGTATTGCATGGATGTCTATTATTCGT